CTTTTCACGACCCTTCGAACAGCCTCATGGTGTCCGGCGGCCGGCCCACATACCACCTGATGACAACTATTGGCCCAGCAGCTTCCGCAACCACTCCCCGGCATCTGACAGGAGTTTAACGCCCCCACTGCGACCTCGTGCTCATCGTTCTCCTTCACCGCTGCGTCGCAAAGCGCCCTCTTCGCCACCGGAAAACTAGCCAGCGCGGCCAATGGCGGTGAGGTCGCTGGAAACGTGCTACTGAGACAAATACCTCCTGTGTGTATGTTTAAAAACAAAGTGCGTGTTTTGGTGGATCATGTGCCTGTGATGGCCTTGGTGGACACAGGTGCAACGATTTTCGTGATGAGTGCTTCCTTTAAAGACGTGTTAGGGCAGAAAGTTGTTTTTTACCTGGGATAAAACTTCGACGTTCTGCGGAGTGGGTGGAGAGCCATTGCGCCCTATTGGTGTGTGTAGTGCTGAGGTATTTTTGGGAGGCCTTATGATACTATGGGTGACAGAAGACGCGCTGATGCGGAGATCGCAGGGGGAGAGTGCCACCGCGCACCTTCTAGCTTGCGCGGCGTTCAATATATCCAAAGGCGTGTAAAAATACCATTTGATATAAATGTGCGAATTTCTATACCATTACAAAGCAATTTGAAGGGAACAAATTGAGCGTTCGATATACCCGAAAATTCTATATATGTGCGTTCGATATATGTGTGTTCGATATAACCATGTTTGACTGTACACAATTTAACAAATTTCATTTTCCATTTGCCACAACATTTTATGTGGCTAGGGCATTCTGTCTATACTTCGTAAAACCCTTACCGTGTCCTCTAAAAAGCAGTGCACAAAACAAAATCTACAGGGTACCTCATGCATACACCTAAAAGAACTTGAAGGCAAGATTCATTTTGTTTTAGGGGCAAAGCTCCTTATAGTCTAACCTTGTGACTAGTCACCCGTAACTGAGAAAAGGCGAGAAAGAAAAGAACGCAAAAGAAATGGATGACCATTTCTTGTCTCACTTGCTAGATGGTGTTATTCTGCCTCTACTCTCCGATTGGCTGCTGCGCGTGCTTTGCCGACGAGTGCCTTTCTCAGTCTCCTAGATAGTCGTAGGTGACGGATCGTTGGTGGAGTATGGACGGAGCAGAGCGGCGGGCGCTTTGAAGATGCTTGCGCACAGCTTCTTTGGCTCGCGTCTCATTGGTGTTACTCGTGCGCTATCTGCATTCTGAAACGCGATCGGACGCATGGACGCATGCACGAACGGACACACAGGCAGGTGGATGGACGGACGCTTCGTTTCACTCATCAACATTCACTCCGTGGATATGCTGTGGTTTTTTAAAAAGAACATTCTCGACTGGCTTTTGCCCTCCCCAGGGGTGTAGCCAAAAATACAAAAGGCAAAAAAAGTTACTGTGCGCTATATATGCCATGGCGAAAACAATTTTGTAGCAGGGGAAGGGGGGCAAGTTTCCAATGTGCCCCCCCTCCTCGCTACGCCACTGGCCGTTGTTTTGTGCAATGTCCCAATTGAAAACATCCCCTGGCACATCGCGTCCCACTGAAGCAGAGAACCTGTGCTATTCACGGCTGGTATACCCTTCTACCTTGTACTCTCAATGTGAACACACTGCGAGAAAAGTGCTTCGCCTTCTATAGCGGCCATATAAGGGTATGCACTGAGCCTTGATCGCAAAGCAGCCACACCATCGTCGCCACATTTTAGAGGTCCATTCCTACATGCTGTTCGTGCTGTACAGATAGAATCACACTTGTCTAGAGCAGGGGAGCGCATGCCTGTCGATGCTGCTGTTGGCCGCGGCTTCAATCTCACATTAGTTACAAGCTTTCGTTGACACAAACATCATAGCCCAACACACAGTATGGTAAAATTCTATTGCTTTAGCACAGCTCAGTTTCAGCGTGAAGAAACTTTACATATTTCTGAAGAAAATGCCAGCTGGAGCGACCGACTGGGCACCTTAGACAAGTCTGATTCTATCTGTATGTGCATCAGCAGGCAACAAATGTTTCGAGGGTCTCTAGTCAGCCAAGTCACGGATATCAAACAGCGCACATGCAGGAAGTTTTTGCGAGTGCGGTGAGTGGGGCGAGTACATGGACCTTGGAAATGGCAACCCCACCACTAGCGCTTCTCGCGAATGAAGTCAAGCCTTATTATTTAGTATAACAATGCAATTTGTTGTAACACATACATTGCTAAGAGCGTAAGTGAAACTAACAAATTGTATCTTCTAGATCCAATATCGCGTAACTGAGAAGAACGCTGGATAAAAAGATAATGATCAATCTATTTGCTGAAATGGTTTTCATGCTGTAAGTTATCTAAACACGAAACAGAGATTATTAGCACAAAACGTTTACGAGCAGTCTCGTTATGCATTGAGATAGTGCATGCCTGCTACTGCACTCTTTAAAGGATCACTCACCAGGTTTGACAATTTTGAGCTGACAAGCGCAATGCGTAGACGAGGCATTCATGATCACGTTTGCCAAAATTTGCAACGCTATGCGTCGCGAAAATGGGTCAAATTTCAAGATGAACGCTGCTCCCGCATCCTCCAGCCAGCGCGCGCAGAAAATGAGAACACGACGTGCGCGTATGAATAGCCCTACGAACACAGCAATGCAGTGACATTCGTCTTCTACGTAGACGACTCTGCTCTGACGTCGCAAACAGTGGCACGTGACGTGGCGAAAATTATTTAAGACGGCACGCGTAGTTTATGTAATTTGTTGCTTGAAAAAATTATTAAAGCTCTAAATAAATAATGAGACACAATAAGGAAATATGAGCGTCTTACTTCCATTTTTCTACCGTGAATTGTAACGAGATGCGGGGCTAATGTTTTGGCGTTTCGCATGGGTTCGTGTACCCACGGTCAGCGCATCAAGCAGACAACCGCCGTGGAACGCTTCTATGCGTTTGCGCACCCATTGTGCACATCTATTCTACCGCGTCTAAGCCAGCGTTTCCGAACCACCCCGCATAAACAGGCAGAAGACCACAAAATAATGCTGGTCAACAAAGCAATGCCACTCGCGTGCTCAGGGGTTGGACTTGTTAGTGCACGTCATGCGCAAGTGACCTTTTGGTCGGATGCCTGAGAGGGTGGGGAAGAGATTTGGCTTGCGAAGGCTACGCGGAGGAGCAGCAAGGGTTTCAAGCTCGCCTCCTCTGATCCTCATTTCACACCGCTTCAAAAACCTCGTTTTCTCTACTCGTGATGAAACGTTTGAAACATTTTTGGGACAAAATGTTCCATATCAGACAACCAGCAACTTCCACTGTCTAACTAAAATTCGGTATGGGGCCTGGTGAATGGCCTTTTGTGACACAACAGCCTTCCCTCCTCCCTTCAAAACGAAGCAGTAAATGCGACGTCGTGATGTTCAATTTTTTTTTTTTTTTACCATCAGCTAATGACCCTAGAAAGAGAGAGGCAACAAGGCAACAATGATGATGATATGTGGGGTTTAACGTCCCAAAACCACCATATGATTATGAGAGGCGCCGTAGTGGAGGGCTCCGGAAATTTCGACCACCTGGGGTTCTTTAACGTGCACCCAAATCTGAGTACACGGGCCTACAACATTTCCGCCTCCAACAGAAATGCAGCCGCCGCAGCCGGGATTCGATCCCGCGACCTGCAAGCCAGCAGCCGAGTACCTTAGCCACTAGACCACCGCAGCGTGGCGCAACAAGGCAATAAGGACGTGCAACAAGGCGTAGCCGCTTCACAGGCCTTTCGACACCAGAGCCGCCAGAACGATGGCCTCACTATAGCTGTGCATATTAAAATCAAATTGTGACTGCTCCAACTAAGAGTCATACTTTTATTAATGGTATTCAATTTATTAGAAAGCACACGAGAATTTTCAATTTGGACCTTAGAAACCCCGAGTTAGGATAGAATCTTTTAGGGGCTTTTACAACCGCAGTCATTTTAAACGCGGATGTGCTGATGGAAGGAATTACGAAAAAGCTCTTCTGTATGATTATCTATGGATAAAGTATATTAGAGGAAAAGTGTAAATGCATTCCCACCATTAATGCGTTGTTCTGTGGATGCGGAGCACTCAAAATTAGGTCGAGATTTCCACAAATATATATAACAAACATTCTGGCGGCACGCGTGCAGTTACTAATAAAAATTGCTTTATTACATGCTGCGCAACTGTTAAAACGAGCTATCAGCAACGTTTCTAGAACGGGCAACGTCCACTGATGAATTGCTGCCAGAATTTCACGCTACCGATTGGACTAGACGTAATGGGCCCCGGTGGAGAGTGCGTTTCACCGTTAAGTGGACTTGCTCAATAGAGTTGCGTCGGCACTAAATATAGCAACATGGATTTTAGGATGCATGCGCTATCATTGTATATTCAGTGTCATAAAACAGGTACGTGAATGTGACTTTGGTGGGCCGGAGAACAAGGTGCACATGCATTGACACACCAGCGTGGCTAGTGCCGGTAATAGACGCTCCCAAGTCTGACTTCGCTGCAGTTTGGTGCAATTTACGTTGATATTATCAGGATAGCCCAGTAAATCTGATTTTAGGCACTTTAGCAAAGGAGTGGGATCGCTACAATAATATACCAACCACCCCAGTCCAGCACACTACTGCTATGTTCCAAGTCGCAGCAAAAACCAGAGCCTTTCATCTCCAAAGTCCAACATTATTGCTGGAAAATAAACACTTACAATAGTTTAACGAATACACCTTTCTGCTTGAAGTTAGAGCCCAGCTCCATGTTCAGAGTACTATATCAGTAACTGGGCTGCAGAAGAAAATCAAGGACTTCATGATCTTTCACAATGTGACTGTTCCTTATAAAGTACACAGCTAAATACAGGCACAGCTTGGCAGTAATGACTTTGCTATACAGTAATTCTTGCTGTTTATCAGATAAGCACTAATTGAAATAATTGTAGAATCTTTATTTAGAGAAGCATGCAGCTGTCTGTTTACCTTGGAGACAAAAACAGCCCTTATGCGGATCAGGTGACCGTAACAGGTAGAGCTGTATCGGACAATATTCATGAGGAGCCCATCCAGGTCCTTGGTTGCATCTACTGTATACTCCTACAAAAAAAAGGGGGGGGGGGGGGGGGGGTTACAAGCATTGCGTGCCCTATCAGTACAGTGACAGAAACTTCTTAGTTGCATCTGATCAAACAAGGGAGATCCCTTATTTGCAACTTTCACCACCTAGAGAGGGCACAAGTGGAAGTCCAACATGGCTGTTTGAGGGATCGTGCAGCCAGCGCCTGCTGCTGGTGTGCCCGTAACAATGAACTGCATAGTATTTTCGGCTGCAGCCGCCTTATTGTCAATTGATTGATTGATATGTAGGGTTTAACGTCCCAAAACCACTATATGATTATGAGAGACGCCGTAGTGGAGGGCTCCGGAAATTTAGACCACCTGGGGTTCTTTAACGTGCACCCAAATCTGAGCACACGGGCCTACAACATTTCCACCTTATTGTCAAGGCATTGCTTAGAAGGTCATTGACTCAAGCATATATTATATTCCACACTGCGTGTTGAACGCGTGTGCAGTGTTATATTGAAGGGAAAAAAAAAAGGTTTTGAACGCCAGGCACATCATTTGCTGAGGTGTGAAGGTGATACTATGGCACTGTACTATGGCTGACCGAAGACGAAAAAATGGTGCCGTGCCACGTTTTCTAAAGCAGACACCGCCTCTGAAACTTAAAATATGACGTTTGCTCTACAATCTTGGGGGCAAGAAAGCCATTTTAAAATTAAGACACTAAGCTTAGTCAAGCCGGCGGAAAATCCAACATGGCGGCGTCTTTACAGGTTCGTGGCGCAGCTCAAAACAAGCGATTTAGTCCGAAAAATCAAACTTTCGGGGGCAAATTCGTCCGAAAGATCGGTCCAAAAAATGCATTGACCCTCTGGGAGCCCTGATGGTGCACTTTTAAAGTCCGAAATAGAAAACAGGTCCGAATTTTCGGAGTTCGAAAAATCAGTCGGCGACTGTAACCCATTCAAAGCTTTCATTCATAATACATTGAACAAGTTGGTCAAACAATAAAAGTTAGTCATTTTCATTTTCAGTGTCATTTCGAAGCAGTTTTAGAGCAACTACTAACAAAAATACAATGTGGAGCAGTATGGAGCAACATTTCCATCACTGTATTGTTAACTAGCAAGATGTAACCAAAATGTCTAAGAAAAAACATGCCAAAGCAATGCAGCCACACATAAAAAAAAAAACAAATCTGAACACGTACAGTGACTGTCATGTCCTCTGCACACAATTTTGTCTTGAGCTGTGGTCCATAGGCCTCAGTGTCAAAAGCGATCAGCTCCCACTGTGATTTGAGCAGACCATTGTACTTCTGAAATAGAATAAGAAAAGCAATGCACATCCAAGTCTGCCCTTTTCTAGAAGTTAGGCACTGTCAAGTCACTGGCTATTATATCTTTTTGAAAGTGCTACAGAATCATCACATAATGGCACTACAGTGGACTCTCAGAAAACGGAAATCTGTTAAACGGAACTGCTGCTTGATTAGAAGAACTGCCTCTGATATGATTGGTTTCGTACTTGTAATCTGTACCCCTGTTCAACTCTCAGTAAATGGGACTCCTGCTAAATGGAACACATTTTTCCTGTCCCTTCAAATTTCATTTAATGAGAGTCTACTGCATTCAAAAAGAAATCTACTAATATACAATGCCTTTGCAGAAGATTTCTTCTGTTGCGCAAGAGCAGGGGAAGCGTTGGGCAAGAATAGGCAAGGCCTACAATGTACTAGAATTGCCACTTTGCTTCAGTTATTTTTGACAGTCTGCTGTTTTCTTTTTTTATTTCCATTAAAAATGAATGGTAGTCGATGTCAGTTTACAATAGGCTTTAAGAAAAACGTTAACAAGTATACCAAAGCACAAGGCAACCTGGCGGCCCAATGGGAATTCGGTGGTGCATCGGAGAAAAGTGTCCAATACTGGAGGAGCCAAAAGCAGCGCATTCCATCCTGCAGCATCAAAAACAACTTCGTTTCGTGGACGGACTGCAGTGCACCCCGAAGTGGAAACCCTACTCGCTGAATTCGTCCAGGAGCTACGAGCAAGGTCGCTACCCATAACAGCGGAGTGCATCCGCATGAAAGCTATAGGGATAGCGCTCGACTGTGGGCTCATGAGGGCGCAATTGAAAGAGTCGCCATCGTGGGTACGCCGATTTATGAAGCAAAAGGGCTTTGCACTGAGGTGTACTTCCATGTGGCAAAAACTTCCCAAAAAGTTCGATAACAAGCTGATAGAGTATCAGAGTTTCGTCAGCGGGCTTCGCTGACAGCATTGCTACATGATGAGACACATGGGCAACCCTGACAAAACCCAGATCTGGTTCAATATGCCTTCGAACCGGACTGTGACCGCTAAAGGATCCAAGCAGGTGAAGCTTATGACAACGGGTAATGAGCATTTGCAATTCACAGTGATGCTCGCATGCATAGTCAATGGAAAGAAGCTGCCCCCTTATATCATTTTCAAGATAAAAGGGCTAGCAAAAGAAGACTTCTACCGATATTCTATCATGACAGCAAACAAAAAAGTGTTCATGAATGAGTCCCTCAAGCTTGAGTGGATCCAACTCGTGTGGAATCGCCGAACCGGTGCACTTTTTCAGCGACCGAGCATGTTGGTGCTAACTCACTTCGAGACCACCTCAAGGCCGATGTAAAGAGAGCTCTGTCAGATTGCAAAACGAACCTTGTCGTGACCCCAGGGGGACTAACATCAATCCTCCAGCCACTGCACGTAGTGCTGAATAAACCCTTCAAAGATCCCATGCGCGAACTCTACAATGAGTGAAGGGGACTGTCTACCGTCCTTCATTGCTCTCCCGTTTTTTGTCGCAATAAAAAGCATACCATGTGAAGTGTCTAACCTCACAGTGGTTTCTGGAAAGTAATTAGAAATTTTTAAATAAGAATTTTCCTTTCTGCATTCTGTCTTCTTCCATTGGTGGGATGAGTGCCCACAACATTGGTTGCTGCCGGTGAAAGTCAAAAACTGAAAATGTGCGTGCTTTTTGCAGGCTTTATCAAGTTTTGCTTATTGATAAAACAAATACCTTAGCGGTCGTTTTACGCAGGCACACACATTTTTGTTGTTCTCATGAACGGCGGTGGATGCCGTGCTCATGTTTTCCACCGTTTGGAGGCAGGCATGCAGGCAAGCGAACACACCGCAGCGATCACGCAGAGAGATCACGCAACGAGATCACGCAACGAGACCGCAGCGATCACGTTTCCCTATTATTACAGCGCTGCGCGCTGCACAGAGCCTCTCTTTCGAAAAACAATTCCCGCGTATCTTTCCTACGCCTGACCAACCCCTTGCATGCGCAGTGACGTCAACTCGGCGATCGGCGACATGACATAGCACGCAGCTCGCCGGTTGGTCTAAATCAGGTGTGAAAAAACATAACTCAAGTCAACGTCAGTTCCTGTTCCCACCCAACACCTACGAAACTGACCCTTGTTTCTTGGCACTGCGATGAAAGAACCAGCCTCGCAGTTATCGCGTGAACGTGTACACTCCTCGCTCAACCACAGCGCATGTGCGCACGTACGGACGTACTTCGCCCTTGACATGAGCAACACGAGTAAAAAGCGTTGCTCTGTCACCTGCTAATTGAGCGACTGGGCAGCGGAGAAGCATCGGCAGTGGGTGCCTCATGATGGGGCCCTGCGCGCTGCATGGCTGAAGCGAATCGGCCATCCAGCGACGTACGTCGGGGACCTGATCGTTTGTAGTCGACACTTCGCACCTGACAGTTACACGGTTGACCAGCGGCTGGTGCGGCAAACGCTAAACAAACAACCACGCTTCGCAGCAAGCGGAAGTGCATTGCGACTGATCGAGTGCGCCGATGATGTCAACCGCTGACGTGGTGTAACATTGCCGAAGTGGGTGGAGTCACGACGATAAGCTACGCCTTCCCCTTCATGGAAGGGAGAAGGGGAGCAAGGCCACGTGAAAATTCGAAACCAGCTTAAACCGATGTTCTAACCCCTGTAACTTCCTTATTATAGCACGTATTTGCAATTTGTGGCAGCATGTTTGCAAAGAAAAACTGATTATATATCTGTTTTTAAAAATTTTATGGACTTCAGGGCTGTTTACGGGCCAAAGCGTTAAGCAAACTAAATCTTCCTGCGAGGATTTCTTGTCCTACCAAAAGACTGTCAAGATTGACCACATTCGCTGTTGGGTGACGCTAGTGGTAATTTTTTATCGGCTTTCAACATCAAGTCAAAATTATAATTTCTTTTTCTGGCACGAAAGCATGCTTGTTGTCGCCGATGTGATGAATGATCTTTTCATTTTCGCCACAATCAGCAAAATTTTTCCGAGCGTTAGACAGTCCCTTGAATGCTGAGTGACAATCCCAAGACCCCTAATGGCTGCCTACGACGTCCACCGCTTGCGATCGATTGTGGCTGGGTGTCGTCGTTAGCTAGTAAATCTCTCCCGTAAGAGATGGTATGCAAGTCTTTCCGCAAACGCTTTATCAGCAATGCATTGAATGGAAGGAGAACGATGCACTCTGGGACGTAACTAGTGAGGAAACTGATGTCGTCGGACTCAAGTTCGAACAAGTCTGAGTGACAGCACTTTGTGGCCTTCTGGCATTTAACTACATAAGATTAGTGTCGAAATAAAAAGAAATGTCACCACAGTGCAGCTGGTTGTGTCGCGTATTTATCAAGGTAAAGGTGCACTGCGATACTTTTCAATTTTTAAAATTTTCTTTTTTGGAGATTCAAAGTTAGTTAAGGCTTCGCCGTGCCAGAGACGTGACAAGGATTACAATGCGGTTGCATTTCTAAGAAATTAAGCAACCACTTTATGCACACATGCCGAAAATGTGCCTGCATCCAAGCACTCAAACATGCAATCGCCAAAAGCATAGTCCAAGATCTATTTCCATTGAAGAAGAATGGCTATTTGGGCTAGTTCGTAAAATTCCATTGTATTGAGGGTTGCAGTGCAAGCACAAAAGTGCTGGGGGAAAAGCACACAGAAGGCGAGGAACGGAAGGCAAGAAGGGATAACACGAGCGCTGTGTTGTCTCTCGCCTTCTGTACGCTTCCAACATTTTTGTGTTTGTGCTGCAACCCTCAATATAATCTATTGCCATCGGCGCCCCATGCAATGGTGGCTAATTCAGATCTTCAAGAGCATGCCTTTGCGAACTGTACACTGCTAGCGTTTTTTTCCCCCTAGTGTTTTTCTTTTAAACTAATGTTGCGTCTGCCTGTTATGAAAGCCCCAGTGCCATTGCCGAGAGCATTTTTTGACTAGTTTAAGCAGAAGCAGTCACACATTTCCCGTTGCTTTGCTAGAGTATAGTGTGCTCGTGCTTGCTCATGCGCAACCGGCGCGATCACGGTGTGCGTGGTATCTGATGACGCTGGTCGCCAAGGATGTAAAAGATTGAAAAAACTTGGACTTGACAACCAAAACCAACATCATTCGGCGTGTGGAGGCTGGCAAAAAGAAGTAATCGGTCGCAGAAGCATTCATCATTCCTCTGAGCAAGTTCAGCACTATTATGCAAAACAAAGCCAATGTAAAGGTGGAGGCTGCCCAAACATGCCGTTCTCAGACTGTCAAGAACAACGGCAAATTCTACATTTGAAAGCAGCTCTTCCGGAGTGGGACATAGTCGGAGGCTTCATTGAATAGTTCAAGGAATCTTTTGCGAAGCCTTCACACTGTTGAGCAGAGCGATCTTTTCACGACACAGAAAAATCATAACAGACTGGCTTCACCTAATGACATGCTAGATTTTTAATTTCTCAGGGCCTTAAAATTCATGTCACTCTTTCAACTCCCAAGAAGTTGGTTATATTAGGTGGCGAGGTCTAAGGGTCTCACCTGGTTGCTGAAACGTCACGTGACCATTGTGGAAGAAATCTTGTGAAACTTGCAATTAAACAACAGTGACGACAAGCTGTCACCCGATGACCCAAAAGAATAGCCTTTTCAAAATTTGGCTCTGAGCACATCTCTGTATTGAGGCACATATTGGCTTAAATGCCGGTTGTTGCGAATTCACGACATACCTAGCAGTATGCATTAGGGCTGTATTTTGGTCAATTTAACTGCAAAATTAGGTAAGAGGAGCTATTTAAATCAGAAAAATTTAAAACGAATCTTCTCTCGAACAGTTTCATAATTTCGGCATTAAAGGGTTTAAAGACGTACCAAAAGCACTTGGTCCATGAGGTAAAGGGACTCCACGTGACAACGAACATTGGAAAACATTCTACCAGCTCCCCCTCAACACCACGGGCAGATCCAGCCACTCCTTTTAGAGGGAGTGGTAGCTTGAAGTAACAGCGAAGAGGGGGGGGCAGGGTCCTAACTTTTTTTCTTTTACTAGCACAAGAACCCCATCTCCAGCATAAGAAGTGTTAATGTGTGCTCACAGTGGTTACACTTATTCGTTTGAATTGGTTGTAGGAGGTAGATGGCAGGCAATAGAGGGAATGGGGGAGGCAGACACAGGCTCTTTTTAAGGAAGGGGGATGCAATTGCCCCTACCCCCCACCCTCTAGATCCATCAAACACACTCACACACAAGTTGAAAATGGCAAAATGAAGGCGGTTAACCACAGTTGCAATCACTCCACCGAAAGAACATTGAGCATAAGGAACAGTGAACTGCTATAAATTCTTGGCATTGCTAGAAAAGGCACTTGTATTTTGAAGACTTCTCAGATATAAAAATTGTTTTTATAAAATATCCGTACTTTTTTGGAATCGGTTGCCACTAGTTCAACCACTACCGAGAGAGAGATTTTTATTGTCCAGAAAAAAAAAAAAAAAAAAAGAAGGGAGAGCGAGGTGTCTGAGAAAAATCAGTTGTCAGCCCTTTTTAGGTAGTTGCTATTTCTGGGTTCCGCGTTACCATTCGAGCCAGTTTTGCCAGGTTGCGATGAGGTCATTAGTCTATTATGTATGTCTCAGACATCTTCATTATAGAGCACCTCATTTAGGGCACTATTCACATTTTTAAGCAGCTGTTTTCAAGACTGTTTAAATGTGTTGCAAATAATGAAAACAAAGATGCATGAACTATGGTCATAAATGAAAACAAAGATGCATAAGCTGTGGTGATAGGCACTAGCCTATGACCACAGCTTATTGGAGCTGCACTTCAGAAAAAGTCAGGCAATAGGGTCTGGGAAAGGTAGTTTTTTTTTTTTTTTTCATTAAGGCAACTACAGTAGATATAGTATGATACGTATTCTTACCTGGTACTGCGGCAACTCTAACGTTGGACAGATAAGTGCCAATTCAGGAAACCGTTGCTTCTGTAGCCGAGATAATTCATCCTGAAAAATGACCAACATTAGCCAAGCAAAAATGAAATAATGTAATGAAAATAATAGAATGGGGCCTTAGGCAAGTATTACAAAAGAATTTATTTATAGCCCAAAATGTTTTGCAGAAGGTAACTATGGTCAAACAACACATGTGGTTTATTGCTAGCAATTATCGAATTTTTAATGCAATATTTGAGCATAGTTAGTAATAAAGCATGAATAAATAACACACAATAATAAAGAGCGCCATATTATAATAAACATCACCCAATAACAAATCCCCCTAAATGCATGAAAAACTGCTTTTACAATAAAAAATACTGTCTCGAAGTTAAGCAAGAAGTTGAAGTTGCTTATACTCTATAGCACACTTACTGCAAATTGATCAATTTCAGATGCAAAAAACTACTCTAGAAAATTATTTAAATAATAATAGTGAAACATCCCATTGGGTGGTAAGCTGATGTGGCTAGGTACAGTAATTCTGTACGTGCTTTACAAGGCACGCACAGAAATACGGCACTCAACCACAATAATTATATTAACACAGCGGTGCTCTCCTAGATGCACATTTCTTCTAATTGATGTTTTGAAGAAGAATGGCGATTTGGGCTAGTTGGTTTGAATTCATGATAATAAGGGTAAAAAGTAGGACTGCCGTGTGTACTAGAAATGCAATGAAGAAGAATGGCGATTTGGGCTAGTTGGTTTGAATTCATGATAATAAGGGTAAAAATATTAAGGGTTTTCAGCGTTCGTGTTCTCCTCTTTGCCTTGCGTGCCTCGACTTTCGTCTGTTTCTTCTAGCACATTCGTGCTCGCGCTGCAACTCTTATTATGATGTTTTGAAGTATGCTGTAGTCATGGTAATGAATTCTGAACTTTGCTGCACTGGTAAGGATTGTTCACAAAAACTGTGTTTAAGACAAGCAGGAGCAGATTGTCACTTAATAAAGGACACAAAGAGCCTCCTGATCCAGTCAACACCACGTGAAGGTTTTGAAGAACAAGCTCAAGCCATTCACGCCCCTGTACCACTCTGCGCGCTGCCATAAAAGTTTTCTTTTTTTGTGATTAAGGGACAGCAAATATTAGGAAGTTTTGAATGCTCGTCGAATATTGCATTCTATTTGATTACCCCATAATTGAAAAGTTCAAATATTCAAAGTATCTCCAATATTCAAAATTTTTGATTATGTGTGGTTTCAAATATGTTACTGTAAAGAACTTCCCATTTTGCACCTTTACCTTTACAAGAGTAGACCATGCAGTGATTACTGCAACCTCAGCGTAAGTATTTTTAATGTCTGCATAGAAATAAATACGCGGGAACATGATAATGGCTGCCGACAAACGTGCCGTTGGGTCATCATGACAAATCTACCAACGATAAACGTTTTAGAGAATATAAACCATTAACTGCCTCCTCAGCACTACGTGTGGCTTGGTGCTGTAACCTCTAGTGCAAGCGTTCTGTAAGAACATGCCTTTCGCAGCCGCGCCTTTGTGCACTGGACCGCTTCAATAAACTGTGTATCACTCGTGAATGTAAAGGCCGCTGCTGCATTGGCCCAACAAAAGTATTTATCGCACATTTGTACGATCCGGAGTCGAGCAAGCACGAAAAAAAAAAAAAAAAAATGGAACTGTGTAATAGAAAATGCATGCGTATGTTACAAGCGGCGCCGATGGAGTGAGCTTAGCAGGCGACTCACTACATGCAACCAGCTAAGCGCGCTCAGCTTGACGAAATAGCAGTTAATGCTTATCATGTGTAGCTGCGCCGGTCTACGCCAACGGATTGCTGAAAAAATGTACTATGCACACACATTTACAAAAACTTGATTCGTCGGTCACCTGTGCCGGCTCTGTCAGCGACGTCAGCATGTATACTCTGTCATAGTTCTGAAATGACTTGAATCATTAGTAAGATGCACAATATCGTGCGCATGGGCTGAAGTATTTATTTTACCGCAGAATGGGAAACAAAGAAAAAGCTATGCACTTTCAATAACGTTACAATGGCGTCACCACATATACTTTTCGTTTCTAATGGCAGTGCACCTGAGGAGACTGAAATTTGAGGCAGTTACTGCATGGTTACCCTGCGCGTTGCCGGGCAAAAGCACCTTTGGGAATGCATTGTACGTGCATGACACTCCCCGCAACAGTGTCGACTACAATCAATGACCTGTAACTCAGATGCTGCGATCTCGCAGTTTTACCAACGCTACTTTACCATTGTCAGCACGTCGAAGGTGGTCGCAATGCTTCGAAATAACGCTTTCGCCCCCAGAAGGTGGCTCCATTTTCAAACAAAATGAAAGAAATAAAACATGGCAAGAGCGTAGTTATTGAAAAAAGGAAAGAAAAGCAAGCCAGATATTGAGTATTACTATGTAGGTGAACGATATTCCAAGTACTCTTGTTTGCCTTAGTGTCTCGCCCAGCTAGTTACAACAGGAGCAAAAAAAAAAAATCAAATCTGGCATTGTTTATAGCAAAACTGACAGTGCAGGAACCTGGATAAATTGTTGCCACCTACAGCACTTTAATAATAGCTTAGATTAGAAGGCCAACTCCGGCAGTTTTTTGAGGTCAATGGATCTCAATGAAATTCACTGGGTACTTTCCCTTGCATATTTAGGTCATTTATGCTAAATTACAAGCTTGAGTGATGCACTGACTGTTTGCAGATGAATTTTAAAAATTGCCTCGGAAACCTCTTTTCGCTTGCCAGAATTATTGACAACACTGTGTGTGCGACGTCATGTTTGGCATATCAACGGAAGTGACGCAGCTGATGGCATTGCTATTTTGGCCGCTACGGCGTTTATTGTGCTGGCCCTAAAGTGACGGCGGCAGCGTTTGACACGGGTATGGCACGGGAAATCTTTCTTCCTTCTTCTGTGGTGTGTGACCGGCGCTTCACTGATCTGGCTTTCACAGTTTTCATACTATGCACCGGCGAAACCAGTATACGGCCTCCGGTTCTTACCAAATAGTACATGACACGCAGACAGGGATACTGGTCAAATTTCGGTTACGGTTTTGCATCTTTTTGCTTATTACAATTATTTTCGAATTTCGTGAGCATTTCAGCTATTGGGCTCGTGACAAGAGTGTCTTGGGAACATTATTAACACCATTAGCGTGACATGGTCGAAAAATCCCCGAAGTTGGCATTTAAGTACACGGGATTTAATTGTTAATTTAAGCTCATCAGAATACAACTGCCATAGCAGGAATAAAACCAGCAGCTTCGTATTCACTAGTCATTATGGCAGGTAAGAAGTTTTTTTTGTTCCTTTAATAAAGTACAACTACATAAATACAGATAGAAAAGTTTCTTCAACATGTGAATTGAACCCCAAGATATCACATTGACAAGCTTAACTATTTAGCACAGTCATACCCTTCCTGACAAGTACTTTTTTTTACATTTTTTTACTTTTTTTGCAATAACAGACTAGAATAGTTGAAAAGTGTGCCGCTTCTAACATAAATATATTCATTTATTTACAGATTGCGTACATAGCCACATTGGCACTATGTAGGGGAGGGGGGTACAAAACAATTAGTACAAAGGAATGCGTAGTCAAATAGATAAACACACATACAAAAAAATCTGTCATATTTATCAGAACAAAAGTATGGATCATAAAATACATTGTTAATACACGCAGTACATACATAATGCAAGAACAATTTTCCAGTACAGAAAAAAAATCATTATTTGTTATATTTACTAAGTCATAAAATTAAGCTGTTGTTATCCTTTCTTGTTTTTGGAAAGAATGCCTAGAAAAAAAAAAAAGAGGTCTAATTTGAAGGTAGACATCTTTTCGCTATTATATCACAGCGAGCGGTTGTTTAGGGGGTTGAACACGGTAGCTATGGTGATTGATTCCTGTGTTAGAGTGATTATCTGGTACAATAGTTTAAACCGTAGTTTCTGTATATGTACACGTAGCATATCTCATCCCAAAATGGCCTTCATCTGTGAAATGCCGGCATAGGGGCTATGATTATTTAAAACAAATCTTGCCGCTTCGTTCTGAAGTTTTTCTATTTTATTTATAACACAGTCTTGGTGGCGGTTCCATACTACGCACGCATAATCAAGTATAGACCTGACCTGCAAAAAATATAAAGTTTCCTTGATTTCGCGCATCACCTGTTTGAAATTCCTTTGAATAAAGTAAAAGATCCTACTAGTAGCTTTTTGCTATGAACATGTCAATTCAATGTAAACGTTTTATCAACTAAACACAGAGATGCTTATAATAGCAGCGTAGGTTGATAAGTATGCCATAGATGTTATATTGAATGTGACTTGGATATTTTCCTTGAAAAGCTCACGCTGCAACGCTTTTTAATATTTAAATTAATTTTCCATTTTTTACACTAATCTGCTATGTGATCTATGTCTGTTTCCAAAATGAGAGTATCAGATTCTGTTGTGATTTCACTGTATACGACACAGTCATCAGCAATTAATTTTATGGGTGATGTAATGTTTTCAACTATGTTGTTTATGTAGATTAAGAACAAAAGGGATCCTAAAGCACTCCCTTGGGAAATGCCCGAAGTTACTGCTATGGACGAAGATTTGATGTTAAGACTTGACGAAGATTTGACATTAGGGCAACGAAGATAGTTCTACCACTTAAGTAATTTCGTATCAATGTTTGAACGTCTTTATTTATGCCCAATACAGCAAGTCTTAAATCCAAGAGCTTATGGAACACAGCGTCGAATGCTTTTAGAAAATCTATAAAAACCGCGTATACACGACTATTGTTATCTATGGCTTTGGATACGAAATGCTGAAATTCTATTTGTTGTGTGTTAGAGGAATAACTTCTTTTCGGGAACCATGCTCGAATGGAGTAAAGAAAGCGTCTGAATCAAGGAATTTCAAGATATTGGCATGTATGTAGTAAGTGTTCAGATATTTGCATTATAACAACGCTATCTCTTTCGTTACCGCATGAAAATGCCGACTT